GTTTTGGGTTTTGTCCTGATGCATCTCAGTAATCCAAGTAAAAAATCAACTCAAAAGCCTGAATTTTGCCTGAAACTCTGACTGAAGAAGTCTCTTGGAAGAGAGACGAAACGTTTCATTAGAGAAGAACCTGTCCAGAGGACCTATACAATTATTTTCCTTTTGTTTTGGGTTTTGTTATTTAATTTTATGGTCACCACAGCAAGCAGACATGCATGAAAGATTTGGTAATTGTTTTGCACCAAAATGCTCATCCCGACTAGGGCTGCCACGATTAATCGATTAATCGACGACTAATCGATTATTAAAATAATCGATGACTAATTTAATAATCGATTAATCGTTTTCTTTTTTTGTTGTTTTTTTACTTTGTTTTTCTCTCCAAACTGCTTTGACACCTTCCACTGCCACATCTGCCTTTCTGTCCTTGACACACATGCACAGTAGTGGTAACTGGGGTAGGCCGTGGACGTCACAAGACATTATACAGACAGGCTCTGGTATCATGGCTACCTGACAACAGAGCTCAAAGTGTGGGATCATTTTAAGAAAATGAAAGAGAAACCTGTGTAATATCTGCAGAGCAGAACTTACCTTCCACAGCAATTATTTTTAGTTAGCATATAGCTAAAATCTAACGATGGTTATATAATAGCAGCTGCATTCTGACGTGATAAGCTGTTTTATATTCAATTAACGTATGATCCGATTAGTCGACTAATCGAATAAATAATCAGTGCTTAATCGATTATTAAATTAATCGTTTGTGGCAGCCATAATCCCGACACGATCTGGGCTCGAACCCGCAGCCTCTGGATCATGGGTCAGCATCACCAACCACCAAGCTAGCAGGACCCCCGGTTATCCAGTCAGTGTTCTCGTTATTCAGCCGTAACTGAGCAGCTTTTTGAAAGAAGCAAAGCTTTGAATCCATTGTTCTCTTTGTGAAGAAGGAAATGCCACATGGATCAAACAGAGCTGTTCTGATCACAGGAGCTGAAAATGTCACATCATTACGTCGTGATATCGTGACTACAGAGCGGCTGACAAAGAATCTTTTCTTTTTATATGTTCGAGGAATTATAATGAGATGTGTGTTTTAGTCTCTACAGCTCATAGAGCCTGATGAGAACGACACACGGGTTTTCTTTTATTAATACGGTACTCAGAAGCTATAAATGTGGCCTGTTTTGCTCCGTCTTTCAACCCTAAAAGTTTGAATTTGTTTTTAAAATTTGATCACATTTTCTGTGCTCATTCATTTAAAGACTCAACACTTTTTATTTTAACTCCATATTTCCCCCCCGTTTTATAGCTTTTTGTTTTGCTTTTTGTCAAAATTCCTTCGGCTCAGTGAAGTAAACACGCCTCCATTTGCGGTCCAGCAAACAAGGCTGCATTTGACTTCATGCAGGAAACACCAGACTGACTCAAATCTTTGTAAATATTGAATATTTAGGCTGCCATCATTCAGCAGCACAACGAGAAAACTGAAGCCGTGTTTACATTTTACTTACGTCTCTTGTGAGTTTATTGGTTTCTTGATCGACGGAGTCTGTTGTTGTTTTCATGAACTGAAATTAGTTCCTGAAATTTTTCCGTAACAAGAACTCAAAAATGAAAAGTAGTATAAATAAAAATGTCGTTCTCAAACTGTGGGGTGGGCCCCCCTACTAGAAGGGCTGCTGGGGGGGGCGTCACATAGTTCAGTTGGTGAAATTATTCAGAGAAAACAAAAACCAAATGGGTAAAATATTATGTTTCTTTAAAAAAACATAATTATGCTTGACTGCTTGAAGCGTTCTTCCTGTTTTATTCCAGGATCAACAAAAAATGCTTGTGAACCACTGGTGTAGTTTAAAAGTCAGATCTTTCTCTTTTATTTTTATATAATTGTTTGTAAAAACTTACAATTTGCTTAATATTTAATGAGATAAATAACTGAACTGATGCTCAAGCCTATGATAGGAATGCAGATTTTTGAATGTTTTTTAAAAATGACTACTCATTACATTAACTTTCATGTTTATTTTTTGAAGCAGTGTTTCTGTTTGCTATTCTGAAGCTGAAGCACTGTTTCTGATAAATGTAATAAACAAACTGGAAGTTAAAAACCTGAAACACTGCGTATAAGTTAGATAAAAATAAACATCCTCGATTTCAGAAAAGCTGGAGAGTTTTCTGAAATAGTAGCAGTTTCTTTGGCCCGATTTTGATTTTAAATAAATTTAAACAATATTTTAGAACGCTAGCTACCCATGAAGAAGCTAAAGTAAAATAGAAGAGCTTTAAATTATGTTTTATTGATTATATTGATTATCAGCTCTACAGTTAGATATAACTAATTCAAGTTGAAGTAGATCTGTTTAATGTTGTTGGGCTTGTGCAATGAGGAATAAAGTCAATTCTACTCTCTTCTATTATATTTTGTTCTGTTCTATTCTATTATATTCTCTTTTATTCTATTCTGCTCTATTCTACTCTGTTCAGTTTTATTCTAGTCTGTTGTTTTATTCTATTCATTTTTATTTAGTTCTGTTTTATTCTATTCAGTTTTATTTTGTTCTGTTTTATTCTATTCTATTCTATTCTATTCTATTCTATTCTATTCTATTCTATTCTATTCTATTCTATTCTATTCTATTCATGAACCTAGTGACGACTCAGCATTTATTGGTCTTGAAAGGAGCGCAGGATAAAGTCCGTCTGAGGTCAGCTGCAGTCTGTGGCTCCAGCTCGTTCTCAGCTCTGACTCATTCGGACCTAATCTCCATTCCAGCACTGGGCTGGCTGGACTTCCAGCTGCTCACAGAACCGTCCCTGCAGACCCGGGAGGATCCAGGCTCCGTGTTTGTTCCGATATCTGTTCTGAGCAGCAGACCGAGCCGCTCCACATCCCCACTTACAGATGTTTGTGATCTTTGCTCCAGTGAGATTCAGTGGAAGAGACGCAGCTCAGAGAGCAGCGGGCCGAACTGGGCCGGGCCGGGCCTCAGGCGGCGGCGGCTCGCTGTAGTTTTGGACAGCAAGGAGGGGTATCTGTGGAAAACAACAAACCTTCATCTGGGCGCCTGGGGGTAAATGAGGGGTGGATGAGTGAGTTTCAGCGCAGTGAAAAGGTTCAGACCCAGTTAGAAATGTATGAGTTATGGTGTTGTGGTGAATTGGGGTTCCTCCAACACGCTAAAACGTTGATTTGTGATGGTTTTTTTCCTGCAGGGATGAGAGCCATATGGGCTTTTAGATGTCAGACTCCAGCGCTGCGCTCATGATGAGTGTGCATGCGTGCATTATAAATTTTGTCGGCCTATTTATTAGCAAATTTGGCAAATTCTCGCTCACCATGTGTGTTCCTCTTCAAGCCTACACTCAAACACTGGTTTCACTGAAACGGCTTTGATTCAAAGACGCATAATTCACGTTTTAAAAGTTGCACTTTCTCGTTTCGTCTTCACGTCTGCTTTGCCTGAAAAGTTTTTAACACAACTGTGATCAGAATTCATAAAGGGGAGTGTAAACAAGCATATGTTCCACAGAAACATAAAAATAAACACGTCGGTAATTCTCGCTGGGTAACAAATTACCATAAACACACTTTGTAGGTTATTTTGACTCAATAACGCACTCAGCTGGGCTACGGCAAATACTTAGAACAGAAAATGTGTAATTATTCACAGCTGAAAATAGATGCAGCTTACTGAAGCTACATTTGCTCCAAACTGCAGCGTGGATGTTAAATTATAAATGTGAGGCTGACGGGGTGCAGCACAGAGAATACGTTCTGATCATCTTTGCTGTTTTGTAAAAACCTAAATTTGACATTTTTTTTTTTACCATTGGCTACTTTTTATTGTTTGAATGCTTCACAATCATTCACACTATTGAGATCATTTTTTCTTCCCTACGATTTTTGGCATCGAACTCGTTCCACAATTTTTGTGCTATTTCAATAATTTATATATCAAAACGTTCAGCTCATTCATGTGAGAGGTGCTATGACTTTTGGTATTTCAGCTTTTTTATACTTTTTTAGCAATTTCACTTTTTTAGCCACTTTTTTGCCATTGAAAATGAATCAATGTGTCTTTTTTTCCTGCAGAAAAGCATGGCTTTAACTGGACAGATTAAAATGTTTAAAACCCAGATTTAAACATTTCAATTTCTGGTCAATGTCTTCAAAGTGTAAAGTTAGCTTTAGAAACATTTATTAATTAAAACTGTAGATTTATGACTACAGATTATCACTCTCAGCTGGTACAGCCGACCACAAAGCACCGATGTTTACGACTGATTTTAAATCTCTCCTGTTATTCTCAAGCTGGATGTTCGGCCTCGTTTCCTCTCAGACTTAATTACCGACGTTTTCTAATTTACAGGACTTCCTGGTTTGCTTTGAAGAACTGACTGATTCTTTAAAATAAGCAAAGGAAGTTAAAGAGAGATAATTTAACTTGCTATCTCTGGATAACGATGCTTAGTTTATATTAGGTTACTTACTTACTTATTTATTTATTTAGAGAAAACTTATTTCTGGGTTAACATATTTAATTGTTTTGACTCAAAGCTAATTTTCTGATGATAAAAATAATTTATCCTAATGCCACAAGGTAAAGGGAAATCGTGCAAACACAAGGGTTGTATTGATTTTAAAGAAGATTGTTTTTTAAATTATTTTGAAGAAATTTATTGGTCATTTACTGATTCTAAAAGCACAACATCATTTTATAGTTTTCCTGGGTAATTACTGGTTTCTATAAACTAAAAAAATGATGTTGTGCTTTTAGAATCAGTTAGTAAGTGACCAATAAATTTCTTCAATTTTAATTATCATAAAGTGTGGTTATGGCACTTTTTGGCTTCCACAGTTTTCACTTGGAAAAATCCTTATTGCACATTTTTGCTATTTGTGTCAAAAAAAGAAAAAAAAAAAGACTTTACTTTCATAACTTTGAGTTTAAATCATCATTTTGCTCCCACGGTTTAACTCAAGACACTAGTAATAACAAATTAGGGCTCTTTTTATTTGAAACTGATCACTTTTTACACACCAACATTTAACACGATGAGCCTTGGTGGCGAGGACAGGCGCTGGATAAACGACCGGAACAACTGGACGTCTCTCACACACAGACAGTCACACAGAACACATCCACACACAGAAATGCAGGGACAAATGCAAAAAACACACGATACGACACAAACTAACCACCTAACACAGTCTAGCCATCTAAAGTCGACATCAGAGAAAGAGCTTAAAGTGCATACAGGAACAGAGGAGGGCCTCGGCACCACAAACAATCTTCAGACAGAATTCCTCCACGTTGTGCCACGCCGTCGTAGCTTCACAAAAAACTTATCCCATCACGTTTTCTTCAATGCTGCATAGTTCACAGGGTTTGTTTATACATTATTGCAATACTGTAGGTCCACGTCCTGGTTCTGGGTGGGAGCTGTAGGCCGTGAGGTGGAGCAGAAACCTGGTCCAGTCCGGATCTGAGAATTAAATCCAGCATGAGAAGCTCCCGGTGCTTCGCTGCTTCGGACCAATAATCCAAACCAAAGCGGTCCCGATGTGAGGATGTTTCCAAATGCATAGAAGGAAGCTGAAGAGGCCTCTGCTCGGCCCGGTCCGGGCGGTCCACACGGTTCAGAGAGCTCAGTAAGGAGCAAAGAGGACCTGTGGGTGAGAGGTCCTGATGGGGCCGGGGGCCGGGCGGAGCAGCGCAGCGGGGAGGTTCTGAGTCTGGAAGAGGCCCGGGCTCAGCACCGGGCTGGGGCCGTTGTTGGTGCGTTGAGCGAAAGAGTTCCCGATGGTGGCCGCCGCCACCGCCGCCAGGTGAGCAGGGAGGATCTGAGTGGTGAGAGGCTGCTGACGCTCCTTCCCCAAAATTAACTTCATCTGGAGGCAAAAACAAGAAAATACGTCAAACTCAACATGTGGTACAGTATAGAACCAAAACAATAAACCATTCTGTAGTTACGAACGCATGAGGTGAGCTCACACATCTCTCAATACAAACCCTGAGTTTGCTCTGGAAACGTCACTAATATTCAATAAATTCAACAAGCTCATATTTATAGCAGCTTTACAGTTTAAAGATAGTTATATAAAATCTCAACAATGATCTTAAAGTTTAACACAAATCTAGATTAGAGCATACAATGGAATCAGAAATTTTTTGTAATTACAAGAATGAAGTCGTACGAGAATATAGTCATATGAGAATAAAGTTGTTTGAGAATAGTCTTACGAGAAAAAGTCATACGAGAATAATGTTATATGAGAATAAACTTATACGAAAATTAAGTCGTACGAGAATACAGTCATACGAGAATAAAGCCGTACAAAAATAAAGTTTTCTGAGAATAGTCTTATGAGAAAGAAGTCATACAAGAATGAAGTCATAAAAAAATAACGTCATACGAGAATACATTCATACGAAAATAAAGTCATATGAGAATAAAGTCGTATGAGAAAAAAGTCATACGAAAATAAAGTCGTATGAGCATAATGTCATACAAGAATATAGTCATACAAGAATAAAGTCATACGAGAATAAAGTCATACAAGAATGAAGTCAAAAAAATAAAGTCATACAAGAATAAAGTCGTACGAGAATAAAGTTGTATGAGAAAAAAGTCATACGAAAATAAAGTCAGCATAATGTCATTCAAGAATAAATTCTAGAGGTGTCCCGATACCAATACCAGTATCGGTATCGGATCCGGTACCAGCATCAAGTACTCGTACTCGTAAAAGCYGGCCGATACTCTTAACCGATACCGCTTTTGTCCCCTTTTTTGTTCCTCCTGTGCTGCGCTGCAGCACAAAGGGTAAACAACAATCCATACCAGGCGGGGGCGCTAACGCACTGACAAGTTATTTCCGACCGCACCCCCGAATAACAGAAGAAGAATGATGAGAAGAAAAGAAGAAGAAGAAGTAACATATCGGCAGTTTGGAGGTATTTAAGAGCAGCATGGAGGAAACAAACCAGCAGACTGTCTGCTGTGCTCTGCTAAACTGTCAAGAGGAGGAGCTAAAGTTGGATGTTTTAACAGCAGCAATTTGATTAAACATTTGAGGACAAGACATGACAAAGAATTCAAAGAGTTTGCTGCTGCTAGCAGTAGCCTTCATAAACAGCACTATGCAGCAGTTGTTGCAGTAACTTCAATGCTGTTTTTTTCTTTCTTGTAGAACAAACTAAGACATAAGCAGAATATGGAAGGAAGTTTGTTGTAAAAACATTTTATTTTTCCCTCTGGTTCTAAGATTTTGTTTTAGTTGTTCCATTTAAGTTTGAACTGAAATTTACTGCACTTTATTACTATTAGTCATTTTTTTAAACAGTTTAAGACTGAAGCAGAGTAAACTTCTATAGATCTGCTGCTAAAATTTACGTTTTGCATTTTAATTTAAATTTGGTAGTTGCATGTTGAGGAAAATGTATAAAAATAACTTATTTTGTTTTTTAATGTATGCAACARCATTTGTTTTGCAGTATTTGTATTGTTAATACATTCAGAGGGAGTGTGGCCTTATAAAAAAGAGCCTGTTTGAAATAAAATAAATGGTTTCAAAAGTTATGGTGTGATAAATATACCAACTTATCTACTTGTCTGAGGCTACGTTCACACTGCAGGTCTTAATGCTCAGTTGTGATTTTTTGAAAAAATCCGATCTTTTTGTGTGAACGTTCACATTACATTTTAAATGTGAACGTTCACATTACATTTTAAATGTGACCTGCATCAGACCCCTGTGTGAACGCTACACAGCACTGATGTGACACGCATGCGCAGTAAAAGACGTGACGTCTCATCAGCCGGCTTGTTTGTTTACAGAGCTAGCATGGATGCTACATATTACACATCGAATCTGATGTTGTTGTTTAATCCGAGCCGATTAAATAATTATCTGACCTGCTTCTTTAGTTCAGTGTTTATATGTGAACCTTCCTCTGACCGGGATGCTCCAGTGAAGCTTTTTTTTTTTAACGAAACTACGAGCTGGAAATAAAGTATCGACCGAGTATCGAACTTTAGGATCGATACTCTCYGCAACCCAGGCTGGACATGTTATTATCAAACTATCTACGTGGAAAATGAAAAGTAAAAAGATGAAGAAACTGGACTTGTGTTTTGGAGCTGTAAACACACGGAGCTACAGATTTAAACAGCGAGACTTGAGGTTAGTGTCTTATCGATCCTTCACCCCCTCCTCCTGATGAAAAAGTCAGATGAATGTGACATGAGCGTTCACACTGCAGTCACTTTGAAAACATCAGATATGTATCCGATTTAAAACCACATACTGAAACGGCCTGGGTCGGATTAGAAAAAATCGGATTTGTCGCGTTCAGACTGTCATAAAAAAATCAGGTATGAGTCAGATGGGGCAAAAAAATCGGATTTGGGTCAGATTTGCCTGCAGTGTGAACCAGAGTTTGCACTACATTTTTATTGTCAAACATAATATTTACCCATCAATTTTTGCATGATAATTGCATTTCATTTTCATTCTGTTTAATATTCAACAAGTTGAACAGATAATCCACCCTAACCCCACTACTTGGTATCGGTATCGGCGAGTACCCAAACTGAAGTACTCGTACTTGTACTCAGTCTTGAAAAAACTGGTATCGGGACACCCCTAATAAATTCATACAGGAATAAAGTCGTACGAGAATATAGTCGTTGGAGAATAAATTCATATGAATATAGTCATATGAGAATAAAGTTGTTTGAGAATAAAGTCTTACGAGAAAAAGTCATACGAGAAAAAAGTTATACGAGAATAAACTCATACGAAAATTAAGTCATACGAGAATAAAGCCGTACAAGAATAAAGTTGTCTGAGAATAGTCTTATGAGAAAGAAGTCATACAAGAATGAAGTCATACAAGAATAAAGTTGTACGAGAATAAACACATACAAAAATAAAGTCATACGAGAATACATTCATACGACAATAAAGTCATATGAGAATAAAGTCGTATGAGAAAAAAGTCATACGAAAATAAAGTCATATGAGCATAATATCATACGAGAATAAAGTCATACAAGAATAAAGTCGTACGAGAATAAAGTCATACGAGAAAAAAGTCATACGAAAATAAAGTCAGCATAATGTCATACGAGAATAAATTCTTACAAGAATAAAGTCGTACGAGAATAAAGTCGTATGAGAATAAAGTGGTACGAGAATAAAGTGGTACGAGAATAAAGTCATACAAGAATAAAGTTGTACGAGATTTACGTTATCTTATGCTGCTTTATTGTAGAATAAAGTTGAAATATTACCAGAATATAGCCATAATAATATGAGAATAAAATTGTCAGAATAAAGTCATACTAATACGGAATAAAGTCAATATTATGAAAATAGCTTTATAGTATATCAAGAGTAAAGTTGTAATAATACAAGAATAAATTCGTAATAATATGAAAATAAAGTCTTATAATTACAAGATTAAAGTTGTAATAATAAAAAAAAAAGCATGTAAAAAGCATTTCCATAGCAATCTCACCGTTTATCAAAAGACACATGAGCTTGGCTTCTTTGCAAATTTGTAACTACAAAATAGTCTACTGGCATCTATGATTAAAAAGGTCAGATTAAAGTGTCCCAGCCTGGAATAATCTGGATTTTATGAGTAAATATTCAACACATTTGATAAAGGTTTTAGCTTCTGAATAATCAGTTGTAATAAAATAAACATTTATGTGCAGAAAATGTTCGGTTTAACTTTGTTTCATACAAACGTACCAAACCTCCGGCAGGCAGAAACAGAATTTACTTTATTATAAGAAACAGAGACGTTGCAGGCGAGGAGGTCAGAGGACTTAATGAGGCGTAACAGTGGAAATAATTTGATGAAATTTCTGACATTGGTCCATATGTTCAACTGCAAACAAAATTAAATTACACATTCTCTCTTGAATAATATGTAATCTGAACATGGAGCATGGAGGAAAATCTGTTTGTTTGACAACTAAAGGAGAAAAACCCAACCCTCATGTAGCTGAAAAAACAAGTAAAAAAATAAAAGACAGACGAGCCTCTCGGGGTGAGAATGTCACCAAAGTTATCTGGTTTAATCTTCTGTATCGGTGATGAAAAAGCTTCTTCCTCACAGCGAAGCGGCTCTCGTCACGGGTTATCAAGAACCGGGCCGGGCAGCGGAACCCTACGGGAAGCGTTCTTTACTCTGCGCTCATCAGAGGAGCTCCTCTCCGTTAACTCAGTCAATGATGGGTTTCACAAAAACCCATTTCCCCCCGCACGGCCAGAACCTCCTGCTAACAGCCGGCGTGAAGAGTCGCTCTGAAACGTTGGCTCTTTCACTCGTCCTATCTAAAATCTTTGCTCAGCTCACCTGGAGCTTCCAGGAAGTTTCACAGTAAAAACTTATTTCTGTTCACCCGAATTCCACGGTTTATCAGCTCGCCGGGCTCTTTGATGTCTGAGAGGCGGAGGGAAGTTAAAGCTGACATTTACAATCGCCTCGACGCCGCCTTCGACCCGAGTCTGCATTCCTGCCACGGCCATCACGACAGCCTTTAAAGAGACGCTGTTTTTTTGTCAATAAGATGTCGAGGTTTTCAATTTGGACCACGTCGTCCGCTGAGTTTTAATAGCAGCTGGCTCGTTAACAGGTGGGCTGATTTATAAAAGGTGACATTTTACTGAATCAGGTTCTGTTGGCCGGAGAGAGGAGCAGAAACTTATAGTAAAAAAAAAACATGAGTCAAAGCAAACTTCTATCTAAAATCTGATAAATCTGATTATAAAAAACAGAAGATAAGAGGGACAGTCTGGTCAGTTTTAAAGGGATCCCTGATTAATTGTAACATTAGACTTTATTTGATAAACATCCATTTTAACTGTAAAATAAAGACTGTAAAAATACCGTAGGCTGTTTAGTTTTGTAAATTTTAACAATATATTTTAACACGGACGGAGCCATTTTATTTACACGCAAAGCATTCTGGGTAAATGATGACATCAACTAGGTCCTTGGTGTGAGGCTGCTAGCGAGCTATATCCACCCTGAAGGTTAATCTTGGACAGTATCTGATG